TGCAAAAGGACAAACGTTGCATATCATTTTCACGAAATATGCAAACACGTAGAAACCAAAGCTTGCTAGCAGTCACCAAGAGAAGATGAAGGAGGGAGGAAGGGAGAGCTTTTGCTTACGGGACATAAAGTTTACATTATTTGTGGTAAGATGACTCAAAATACGGCAGTAAGAAAGGTTGCCCCACTGGTGAAACGTCTTCAGCGCGACTAGATGGTATGAGGAGAAATTGATGAAATGATGCATGTTTCATGATGTATGTTTTCACCTCAGTAAAATGAAAAGAAAGTAATGTTCTCCTGTTCAAATGAACAGCATGGCTTCTGTCTCCTGGCTGGACTGCATGGCAATGATGGTTATGGTGGTACTGATTATTTGATAAATACATGTTATTGGCGTTAGAGTCTGTCTGGTTGGCTTTGACCCACAGTGACCCTAAGAACAACAGACCTGGCTCTGTCGTGTGCCGTCCTCAATAATCTCCAACAAGCCCAAGAGCATTGTTCCAGTCACCGTGTCAAACTGATAAATGTTATAACACCACTAATTCATCTTAACAAATCAATTCAATGACATTATAGTATATCATGTTAATGATTATGCAATCCTAAACACTGTTACAAATAAAATGTTTTATACCCACTGCTGCTGAGTTGATTCAGACTGATAGGGACCCTGCAGGACAGCATAGAACCGCCTTGCAGGGTTCTCAAGGCTGGTAATCTTTATGGAAGCAGACTGGCTCACCTTCCTAGTGCAAACCCGTCAGCCTTTTTGTTAGCATCCCAGAGATTCCTCCAGTGTGGCACCAGAGCCCCTCAGTGCAATATAGTTGTGGTAACTGTTGAAGAAGCTGTCATGCCACAGTCAAGCCCTCAGCTGCTGACAGCTTGACAGTTTGAACCAACGTATTGCCTCTGTGGCAGGAAGACCTTGAGTTGAAAATTAACTCTCCAGCAGCCAACGACAGCTGTAAATACTGTTACATATACAGGCATACCTCAGAGATATCGCACTCAGATCACTGCAATTCAACAAATGTTGGGGGCAATGGAAGGAATGCAAAAAGGCTCAATGGGGACTTGAAAAGTGGGGTGCTAATAGGCACAGATCAACTAAGTCATTGCAGAAAATACAATGTATATGAATACAGAAAACAATATACATGAATGAAGCGATGTATAAAGATAATCGCATCAAACACAAAATGCATGTATGAAACACGATGTATATGAATGGCAAACAAATTTTTTTTAAAAAAAGAATGATAGCACAAATGAAAACATTTAATAAAAAAAAAGAAGAGACACAGAAAACCCAACCAATATTACAGTAAAGTCCGTGTTACAATAAAGCCAGACACAAACAGGGGCTGTTTTCCATGTGCAGATGGGCGCTGTATGTAGTCTTTTTGGTTTTGCTTTGTTTTGTTTGTTATATTTATTTTTCATTTCAATGAACATCTACATGCATGTAGTCCTTTGCGGGGAGCTTCCGTGTGGAGCTGCTAACCCAAAGGTCCTCCTCTCTGGTGGTTCAAATCCATCAGGGAAGAAAGACGGACAATCTCCTCGTGTGCAATGTACAGCCTGGGAAACCCAATGGAGGGTCAGCTCCGAGTTGGTTCTGACTTCAAGGCAGTGAGTTTTCGAGCAGTCTGTTAAGTATGAAGTTGTTTCAAACGTTGCCAGTATCATCAAGATCACAGAGACAGAGTGAGCACATTAGAAAAAGGGTGCCAACTAACCTTCCTTGCGCAATGCAAGGTTGCCACAAACCTTCCATCTTTGAGGTGTGGTGATGGGGGCAGGGGAAGGCAGTATTTGCAAACCACACAAAAGTGGTGTATAATCAAGCAAGAGGGGAAGACCCTTTATGAGATGGGTTGATTCAGTGACTGGGGTAATCGGGATGGGTGTGTCAGAGGCAGTGCAATTGGCACAGGACAGAGCAGAGTTTAGGGCTGTTGTACATAGGGTCGCTATGAGTCGCAAGTGACTCGATGGCACATAACAACAACAACAATCAAACAAGGGCTGCCTGCTGACGGTAATAGACTGTCTTGAGGCTGTGCTGATAGTGACAGCTGCCTTCCAGAGGTGGCACTTAACACGCCGAATCATTCATCTCCTCCGACCAGTGGGTGCTGTTCCCATTTCAGAGACAGGCATAGGACCTTGGAGAGAGGAAGGGGCTGGTCTGAACTGGTGTGATGGATTAAGCATTGGACTGCTAACCAAAGAGTCAGAGGTTCTAAGCCACCACCTGGCCATCAAGGAAAATGCAAGACAGTCTGCTTTAAAAAAAGGGGGGGAGGCAGGGGACAGCTTTGAAAATCCTGAGGGGCAGTTCTGTTCTGTCCTGTATCATTGTTATGTACAGTCACGTCAGGACTGACTCCTGGCTGACCCTCCAGCTGGGTTTTAAATTTTTATTTATTTTATTTGTGAGTGTGTGTGCGCGGTCAAATCAGATCCAACTGGTACAGGAGGAGATTGTCCCTCCTTCTCCAGCAGAGCATCTGGTGGATTCGAACTGTGTACCTCTGGCATTGCAGTGCAGCTTCTTGCCACTAGGCCACCAGAGCTCCCGTCCAGCTGGGTTTTAGAAGCTGTAAATCCCCTGGAGGGAGAGGGCCCGTCTTCCTCCCTCAGAGTAGCTGAGGGATTTGAACCATGAGTCTTTGGGTTGGCAGCACAACTCCTCACCACTAAGCCACCAGAGTCCCCCGCTTTGTTCTGCGTTGATGTTGTTGTTGTGTGCCATCGAGCACAATCAGCCCCTAGTTGACCCTGCCGCGGGTGCCCAGAGGCAGTAATTGCTAGGGAGGAGACTACCCACACTTCCCTCATGGATCTGCTAGGGGATTCGAACTGCGTGCTCTGCTCTATAGTCAGAAGCCCTTCAACAGCCGTGGGATTTGTTAAAGGACGACTTCTGCCCGAGGCTGGGCCCTTCACCCTCTCCTGCTGCGTGGAAATCCACAGGGTTTGAATCCAAAGGCTGTAAATCTTTGCAGCCACAGCCAGCTAGGTCTTTCTCCCGAGGAGTGCCTGACAGGACCCAACCGCCCACCACTTAGCTAGGAGCCAGGTGCTTTAACCACTGTGCAACCAGGGCCATGGCGTCAGAGGCGCTGGGTGGGAGGGAGGGAGGGAGCCCCCCCCCACACACACACACACTAGGGAGCAGGAGAAACAGACACCGGTGCGGAGGGGGAGCTGGTTTCCTCTGACAAACACAGATTCCTCCCTCGGTGCCAGGCGCACGGCTCGCGCCACGAGCTCGCGCCTGGCCACCTGCCAGTGTCCCAGCACTGCGGGTTCTGACGAGGCGGAAGGGGCTGGGGGCTGTTTTGGAAGACTTCCTGGAGAAGGGGTGCATCCTTTTAGGCCCTGGCACCCCTAAATGCCCACAGCAGCTCTTTAAAGACAGGATGGGCACCAAACAGGTCGGGGGAACAGGTGCCCAGGGTCACCTGGACACGTGTGTGATGGCCACCAGACCAAAAGGCCCAGTTCTGGCCAACCATCACTTCAGCAAGGCTCAGGCTGTGACGTGGTGACACACCTGACGGTGCTCCGCACCCACCTCGCCTGGGCTCACCTGACAGGTACAATCCACCCACTCGGCCTTGAGTTAGAACTTGCCTTGCACACTCATCTCGCCTGTCCACTGCTGGGGCTTAGACTCAGCCTATCCTCGGTCCCCCGGCAGTGCCCCCACATTGCGCCTGCACTCCCACCTGATTCTAACCCTCTGATCTACAAGCACAGAGGAGAATTGTCCTATGTTTTCAAGGCCGTTCTTGGGAGCAGACTGTCTCGTCTTTCTCCTGTGGAGCCGCTGTGGATTCCAACTGCCCACCTGCTGGGTGGCAGCCTGGCACTTAACCCACAGTGCCAAGCGGGCTGCTTCGCCTGCGTGTCCACCCACTGCTGTCTGGTCGATTGTGACTCACAGCACCCCCTCTGTCATTCTTGTGAAGCTGCATATCATTACGGGAGGAGAACACCCAGCGTTCTCCCTCGGAGCGGCTGCTGGGTTCCAACCGCCCACCTTTTGGTTAGCAGCTCAACACATTACACATGGTGCCACCAGGGCCCTTCACCTGCACACAGGAGGTGCTTGAGTGCCAGGTGTATGGAGACACACAGGAAATGAGCAACAATGAGGGCCTCTTACTTTCCATCATGGGCTCGCAATCCAGAGACCAAACTCGTGGATTCAAAACCACAGAGACGCCACAGGGTGTCCCAGCCCTTACAACGTCTTGAAAGCAGACTGCCAAATCTCTGTCCCTAGTGAGTTCAAACCGCCAACCTTTTGCATAACAACCGATGCTTCTTGCCACTGCCCTCAACCCTGAGGTTTTGCATTTGCTGTCCTTTCTTCCCAGAACATACTTCCTGTCCTCTCCAGGTTAGCTTGGCTTCTGCTTATCTTTTCAGCTTTCGGCACAGGTAGCCCCTCCTCCAGGAAGCCGTCTCTACCTCGACCCCCAGGTCCAAGTTCAAGTCCAAATTCAAGACCGGGGTCCCTAAGACTTGGCTCTGTTCACTCTGCATTGTAGTGGCAATGGGTGTAGTCTGCCTTCTGCGAGATCATGGGCACCCCAAGAGGAAAGAGCTGTCCAACCTGCTCACTGCTTTGTCCCCCCAGCACCCACCTCGGGGCCTGACCCGGGGAAAGACCTCTAAAAATAACAGGTGGAATAAATGCAGGCATGCATCCGTGAACAAATGAATAATAGTGAAAGAGCTGAGACAATATGTGTTAAACGAACGCAGGCATGCATCCTCGAACAACTGACCGAGAATAGCAAAGAAATGAGCCAATATGTGCTGAATGGGTGCATGCACACGTGAATGACGGCAACAGTGAGAGAAGTATCTGAATGTCTGTTGGATGCATGCATGGGTGTGCATGAATGCATGAATGGGACCAGTGAAGGAGCAGAAGGTGGGGAGGTGGCTGGGGGTGGGCGCTGCCAGGCAGACCTTGTTGTAGAGGGCGCAGATGTGGAGGGCTGTGTTCCCTGAGGCGTTCTGGGCTCCAGGCTCAGCCCCATAGAAGAGCAGGTGTTCCAGGTGCTGGGAGTGACCCCGCTGACAGGCCTGGGGGAAGGAAGGAAGGAAGGAAGGAACAGTGAGCAGATGGGGCCAAATTTGGACCCCAGTGTGAATCCTGCCTGGTCTCCTGGGACCAAGAGCTCATCTGTATCCTCTGCTTTGAGTTCAGGAAACACCCAATTCTTTCCCTTTCTTCTTTCAGCCTCCTTTCCTGCTTAAGAATCTAGATGTCCAGTCTCACAACCTTTCCTGCTTAAGAATCTACATGGCCAGTCTCACAAGTTCAATGATTCCAAGATTCAGGAGTCTTCCCACATTGGAAATCAAGATATCCAGCCCCCATCCCATGCCCTCTATGTGCCCCCAAACCCCCATTATTTTCTTCTTTGGGGGCCATGATACCCCATCCTTTGTGAGGACCCAACATCAGGATCTCCAGTTCCTTAGACTTCAGTGACGCAACACTGGGGTCCCTGTCCCCTGCCTCCAGCCCCTCTTGGCCCAGCTGAGAGCACCTGGTGGATCTCCTGCCAGCCGTTCTCATCAGCGATGCCCAGCTGGGCTCTGTTGTAGAGTAGCAGCTCACAGCAGCGGGGGTCGCCCCCCACCATAGCCGTGTGGAACAGAGGGGTCAGCCCTCGGCGATCCTTGTAGTTGGGGGAGCCCCCAAGGTCTAGGAGTGCCTAGGAAGTGGGAGAGATTCCAGGAGAAAGAGTCAGAGAGAGAAAAAAAGAACAACACAACATGTGATAATCATGGAAGAGTCAGCGGGATGAGAGTGGGGGGCCCTAGATGCCCCACGCTGGTCAATAGTGGGCTTAGTTCTGCCATGAAGTCCTTGCGTGACCTTGAATAGGGCCCTCAAGACTCAGGTCTTGTACTGGAATTGATGCCAGGGAAGGACTAGGAGGAGAGACATAAAAACCTAGAATCAGGGGGAGCTCTGGTGGCCTAGTGGCAAAAAGCTGCACTGCAATCCCAGAGGTGTGTGGTTCGAATCCACCAGATGCTCTGCTGGAGAAGGAGGGGCAATCTCCTCTTGTACCAGTCAGATCCGATTTGACGGTACACACATCATCATCATCATCAAAACCACCCCAGAATCAGGGATTTGTGGAAGAGAAAATGAGAAAGCAGGTCTTTATCTCCTCCCACTTCTAAGTCTTTTCCCCATTCTGTTTGAAGACTGACAGGACATGGAGTTGCAGCCAGGGAGTTCTCTTCCTTCTCACATCCTGCTCTGACCTTTTCCTCCCCACGTGGGTGACTTGGATGAGTCACTGAAGGACCTACAACCTCCTCATTCTAAACTGGCCACCTCCTCCGCTGGGTGGCTGTGCTGGACAATTGAGAGAAAGGAACCTAGAACAAGAAGTTCTCTGGCCATCTAAGGTAGCAATGATTGATTGCTCTTTGAAGCAAAGAAGACTGAGAGTAAAGAAAAAATAATAATCAAAGATGCATGGAGAGAATTTGTCCAAGGGATTAACGAACCATGAGAACTTCAACCTCTATGATCCAGAGACCAGAAGAATGAGATGATGCAAACACCACACCAGAGTGCTCCAAAACTGATCACAATAGGAAGTCCTGGTAGAAGGGGAGGAAAACGTGGATCAAAATGGAAAACCATCTCAAAAAGGCCAGTCTGACAGAGTCTGGTGGAACCTTTGAGATTATGATCAAAGACGCATGGAAATAGTTTCTCCTGGACCACGAGAACTTCAGATTCCATGACTTAGAAACCAAAAGAAACTAGACGGTCCCCAGCATGGCTGCAGATCACTCTGAAAGGGACCACAGACAGACCCACAGAGAGGTACAGCCACCCTGGAACAACGAAATAGATAGCATCAAAAGGGGAGTATTTGCTTAGGGAAGGCAAGAAAGAAGGATCAGGGGAAATGGTCAGCACAGGAAGAAGAAGAGTGATTGTGGAGATTGAAATTGCAATGTCCTGAAATAAAATGTGTATGAAGTATTGAATGGAAAACAGATTTGCCTAGTCAATTCTCACCCAAATCACAGTTGAAAAGTTGAGAAAAGAAGATTCCTGACCAAGCTGGAGTTGTCACGAGGGAAGGTTTTTCAAGACTGGGCACAGAAAAAGGTTGCTTGGGAAAACATAACTTTGGGTTAAGTGAAGTATTGAGTGAGCCCATCTGGGGCTAGAGCCTTGAGGACAGAGAGTGGTTCCACTTAAAATATAGTTCTTGTGGAAGTCTGGCAACATGAAGCATTCTTAGAACAAAGTGTTGGCCGTGTTGCTGTCCAACATCTCCTGAGGAATGGGAACATCCTACATCCGCATCACATCTGCAACATCCAATATGGCGGCCACACGTGACTATGAGCGCTTGAAGTGTGGCAAATGAGTCTGACGAGCTGACTTTTAAATTTTATTTCATTTTCATGACTTAAAACTTTGATAGCCCTGCGACAATAGATGGATGCTGATAGATTGAAAGGGGGGAAATAAAAGAGCGGAAGAGAACCTCAAATTTTTTCAAAAGCAACAACAAAACAATCTCACTGATTGAGCCCAGAGGATGCCTTCATACAATTACCCAGAGAGACTCTTCAAACCAGGTGTGGCTATGGGATTAAAAAATACATAATATTTTGTTATGTCATTAGTAAAGATTTTCTCAGTGGTTTAAGTTCTCAATCAACAGGGGGATGAAACTAACCTCTCATCTGGTAGAGACTGGCGGAACCCTCAAGATTATGACCCTTGGTCATCACTTAACCTTTTAAGATACTCCTGTGGCTCAGCTTCCAGTCAAACGGACAAGCCTTCAAGATAGACACTAACAGCAGGAAGGTACACACTTGCTAGAACAACCATATGAGATTAAAAACCACAGCATTTGCACAGGGATAAAACTCAGAAGGGAAGAAAGGATAGAAAAGGTCCAAGGGAAATAGCAAAAAAGGGAGAATCACCTTCTAACAAAACAACAGACTGTATCACAAAATCACTGGACCGAGAGGGACCGTCATGATGGTTGGAGAGGAGAATGAAACTGTCAACAGCTTCATCTTGCTTGGTTCCACTCTTATTAACACTCTTGGTAGGAGCAGTCAGGAAATAAAGAGACACATTGCACTGGGAAAATCTGCAATTAGGGACCTTTCCAAAGTGTTGAGGAGTAGTGATGTCAGTTTGAGGACTAAGGTGCATTTGATTCAGGCCATAGTCCTCTCATTTACTAGCTATGCATCCGAGACTCGGACAATGAATAAGGATGACAGAAAAAGAATTGACACCTTTGAGCTGTGGTGCTGGAGAAGAGCACTGGTCATCCCACGGAGAGCCAAGAGAACGAACAGATATGTCTTGGAGAGGGTACAGCCAAAGTGCTCTTTGGAGGCAAGAATGATAAGGCTTCGCCTCACATACTTTGGACATGTTGTTAGGAGGTGCTATTCCTTGGAGAACGACATGATGTTGGGAAGGGTGGAGCGACGGTGAAGGAGAGGAAGACCCTTGACTAGATGGATAGATATGGTGACCACTGCAATGGGCTCTTGTGTGTCAGGAAGTGCGAGGATGGCGCAGGACAGAACAAGGTTCAGATCTTTTGTTCATAGGGTTGCTATGAGTTGTGCTAGACTCAATGGCACCTAACAACAATAACATCACAAAATCACTAATATCACATGGAAGTACTGTGCTGCTTTTACCAAAAAGTCACCTAGATGAGACAAAGCCATGGTGTTTTTCAGTAGTTTGTTATGCACAATGAATAAAGAAGACCAACAGATGGTACCTTGCATGGTCTTCCTCTCTTTCACTGACCCTCTACTCCTCTAAGAAGACTTGAAACACTTAATGAAGATAAAAGACTACACCCTTCAATATAGATTATATCTCAGCATCAAGAAAATAAAAATCTTTACCACCGGACCAGCCTCCAGATAGAAAAAGAAAAGACAGAAATTGTTAATGATTTCATTTTGCACGCGTCCATAAACAACACCCACAGAAGCAGGAGAAGACATTGAAAAGACAGAAGACATTGAAATAATGGTGCACTGGAACAATCTGCCGTCCAGGCTCTCTCCAAAGTGCTAAAGAGCAAGGATTTCAGTTTAAAGACTAAGGTGTGTCAGCTCCAAGCCATAGTCCTTTCAATTGCTTCCTATGTAGCTGAAAGTTGGGTAATGAATAAAGAAGACCAGAAAATGGATGGCTTTGAATTGTGATGTTGGAGAAGACTTTGGAATATCCCATGGACTGTCAAAGAACAAACAAGTCTGTCTTGGGAGAAGTACAACCAATGCGTCCTTCAGAGGCAAAGATGGTGAAATTTCATCTCATAGACTTTGGATATGCTGTCAGGAGGTACCAGTCCTTAGGAAAAAAGACATCATTCTTGGAAAAGCAGAGGGTCAGAAAAAGACGGAAAGACCCTAAATGACACGTACTGCCATAACGGGCGTGAGCATGGTGGACGTTATGAGGATAACACAGGATAGGGCAGGGTCCAGATCTATTGTGTATAAAGTTGCAATGAGTCACAGTTAACCCGATGGCACCTAACAACAACACTTTGAGATGAAAAGACAGAAACATGACTTTAACACAAAAATGAGAAGGTGAAGAGGTACAGAAGCAAAATTAATGGCAGCAGAATACGAGAATGGTCATGCATTGTTTAGAATGGCACCAGCGTCAATGAACAACGTGTATAGAAACCTCTGACTGGGAATCTGAACTTTGTAGATCTTCACAAAACCCACACACAAAAAGTCTTAAAAAATCCAGTAGCCACACAGGATAGTTGTTGTTGTTGTTGTTAGGTGCTGTTGAGTTGAGTACAAATCATAGCAACTCTATGAATAAAAGATTTGAACCCTGTTTTTTCCTGCGCCATCCTCACACTTCCCAACACACAAGAGCCCACTGTAGCAGGGAAGCTTGATTAACAGAAACAGAACAAGCAAAAGGAAAACAACAAGAATGCTGACACATTGTGAAAATGCAATTGAATTCACTCCACCAAACTGTAGATGTTTAAAAAGAAAATCCATTGCCATCAAGCCAACTCCCACTCACAGAGACCTTCCATCTGATTTCCAAGATTGTGAAGCTTAATGGGAACAGACTGCCTCATCTTTTTCCCCTCAGTGAGGCTGGTGGATTTGAACCACCCACCTATTGGTTACCAGCCCAATACATAATCCACTATGCCACCGAGATTCCTGAATAATATGTATAAAAATCATTGCATGGTATGAAAACAGCCCAAATGTCCAACCACACTTGAATGGATTGAGGAACTGTGGTATATTCACACAATGGACTACACAAAGCAGCACTCAGGAGTACTAATTTTAAAAATTACTACATAACTTGGGAGGGACTGGAGAGTATTATGCTGAGTGAACTACTTCAGTCCCGTAAGGACAAATACTGTATGAAACCATTATTATAGAAATAGATAACTAGTAAAAAGTGTATAAGGATCCAAGTGGGGGAAGGTAGGAGCAGAAGGGTGAGGAAGGGCAGGGGAGAAGTCACAGGTTCGCACAATTTGATGGATGGATGGAGGGGTGGGTGAAGGAAATGGGAAAGATCCAGCCAGGATCTGAAAAGACACGGTAATAGTGGGCCTAGTTCAATGCTGATTCATTTTATAAAATATAATGAATCAGAATGATTGTATGAAACAGGAATGAAGGATAGAGTGAAACACAGTGCATACAAACTTTATAAGCAAACCAATCTAAAATAGAAATTTAAAAAATTGTTATATGGGAACTTGGAGGTCTGGTGGGAATCTAGTTTTCTATGAAAACCTTCACCAAAACTACATTTTTTTAAAGAAAGATTTGAGTTTGGAGATGGGAGAGGAGGTTCCACCAGACTAGAGCGTCTGTTATGAGGTGTTTATCAATAGCTAGGGATTTGGAGGCCAGTCCAGACCTACATGGGTATGCAGGGAAGACATGTATCCAGGGCTGGAGGCGAGGAAGGCTCTATTTAAATATGATTGTACAAGCCAACACTATAATCTGTGGGTGCATAAGGTTTTGTAAGGTGCCAAAGTGCAATGGTTAAGTGCTCCACTGCCAACTGAAATGCTTAGGGCTTGAACCTGCCCAGCTGTGCCACGGAAGAAAGTCCTGGTGATCTGCTTCCATAAAGATTCTAGAAAGGAACATGCTATGGGCTGTTCCGCTGTGACGCCTGGCATCGCTGCGTGTTAGACTCAAGCCAGCACTGCAACTAACAACACAAAACCTGTGAAGACCCTTGACAGATCAGTTGACTGAAGGCCAGTGGTTCAACACCTCTCAAATAGAAGTGCAGAAGAAAGAACTGGCAATCTGATCCCATAAAGATTACAACTTGTTGCCACTGAGCCCATTCCGGTTGTAGCAACGCTGCAGGACAGAACAGAACAGCTCCTTGGCGCTCCTGAGGCTGGAATACTTAAAGAAGTAGGACTGGTTCCATCTGCCTTGTGCGGGGGTGGTTGGTGGGTTCAAACCATTAACCTTTAAGTTAGCAGCCAGATATTTAACCATTGTACCACGAGGGAGGGCTCCTTCCTGGGAAGGATTAGAGCCAAGAAAACCCGATGGTGCTGAGTTTGATCCTGCACACGTGGGGTCACTATGGGTCAGAGTCAACTTGATGACAACTGACAACAGAACATCATGGGATCTGTGCATTTGGGAGCGTGAGGGGTAGAGTGACTGAATTTGGGGGCCATATAAAGGATGAGGGGTGCATGTGTTTGTAAGAGAAGAGGGAGTGTATCTGGGAGATGTGCTGGGACTGGGTTTAGGCGCATGGATGTTGGAAGGTACGAGGTCCAGCGTTTGGGGGATGAGTTTTTGGAGTGTGTTGGGACAGTGTGTGTATCTATGGACCCTCCAGGAAGGTACCCCTGTCTTTAAATAACATGAGAGGGAATCTGAAAGCCTCTGCAAGCAGTTGGCTGTTCACTTCAAGGCTGATAGTTCAAACCTGATCAACGGCTCCATAAGAGAAGCCTTAGTGATTTATAACTCATAAAGACCACAGCCTAGAAGACCCAGTGGGCTGGTTCTATTCCATCACACAGGGTTCCTGAGAGTTGGAGTGGATTTGATGGTACCTCACCACAACAACAAGAAGAAGGGAGTGTAGAAGTAGATCTGTGATGAATTAGGTCGGGGGAACAGGGAGATTTCTCGAGGCTGGGTCATAATGTTGTGACTTGGATGTGTGGGTGACCATGTATGCTGTATCTGGGGGACGAGGTGCCTATGAGGGTCAGCTATAGCCAAGAGTGAGCCCAGGATGGTGGATACCCCTGGGGACCTGGGGAAGCATCTCTGATTCAGCTGATGAAGTGGCAGCAGCAACTGAGTATGTGGAAGTCTCTGGGTGTCACAAACAATTCAAGTTCACCCAGAGGTTCCTCCTAAGAAAGGTCTGGCAATCTACTTGGAAAAAAAAATGGGTTCTTTAAAGCCCTACAGAGGATAACTGTATCCTGACATGCACGAAGTGGCTGGGAGGCAGAGTCAGCCCCACTGCAGCTGGCTCCAGCTGGAGGGCCTGCTGGGTGGTGCCAACAAGGAATACACTTAGTTGCTAATAAAGGGGTTGGGGGTTCGAGGCTACCCAGAGATGGCTGACAAGAAGGGCCCCGAAATCTTTGTTCAAAAAAACTCAGGAGTGAATTCTACCCGTATAACACGCAGCGTCTCTGGGAGTGAGAGTCAGTAGACTCGGCTGCCACGGGCAAGGTCGTTTGGCAGCTTGTGGGAAGGGAACGTGAAGGCAGATGAGTTCGATCCAGAAAGAAGTAACAAAGACAAAAAGTGGGGTAGGGAGTGAGAAAGGGAGAGGAGAGGGAGGTGAGGAGGATGACAAGAGAAAAGAATGAGAAAGGGGAAGAGAATGAGAAAAAGGAGAAGGAAGGGGAGAAATTAAAAGAGAAGAGGGTGGCAGAGAAGGAGCAGGACTAGGGGAAGAAGACCATCTCCACAACCCATGAGAGGGGAGTTTTGTGGGTGAGGTGAGGAAGACAATTCCCTCTTGGAGATTGGGGGAGTCACAGGATGTGTAAGCTGAAGAAAAGGTGTTCAGGGTCCTGGAGGGTGAGACAGGGCTGGGCTGGGGAGTGATCCTTGATTGGGGGACAAGGGGGGGTGGTCTAGGGTGTGTCTTAAATGGTTCCCAAGCAGAAAGGAACAAGGTCACAGGTCAAAGTCACAGGCCAAGGGCAAGGGAAGAGGTCCCCAGTGAGTGGGGTTATGGGGGTGTCTCTGGGAGAATCTGGGGGCTCTTGCAGCCTCACCGTCAGAGCAAGGCAGTGGCGAGCGCACGCGGCTTTGTGCAAGGCCGTCATGCCATCGCGCGCGCGGAAGTCTATGTGGGCGCCGCCCAGGCACAGGGTTCGAATCACCTCCACGGATCCTTCGGTCTGCGCAGCCAGGGTCAAGGGGGTTTCTGTGGGGAGAGGCAGGAAACCTGGTCACACGCAGGCCTCTATACCCCAAACCCCACTTTATCATTTCTCCCAGGTTCCGGCCCACACCCACTGCTTCTCCGGCCTCTCCCCAAGCCCCAGCCCCCTACCTACCTCCAGAATCTGAGTCATGATAATTGGGGTCCAGCCCCTTGTCCAGCAGCCGCGCCACCTTGTCGGACGTCCCAAGCTGAACATACTCCAAGAACTTCTTCAACCCCGTCTGGGCCAGAGAAAAGACAGGAGAAAGTTGGTGATTTGAGTTTACCCAGAGGCAATGCTGAAGAAAGGCCTGGCTGTCTCCTCTGGAAAGCCCAGCCATTGAAAGCAGGGAAGGGAAGTACAGTTCCACTGTGACACACATGGGGTCACCATGAGCTGGATCCACTCACTCAAAGGCCACCAACCAGATCAATGGGGCTGGGCGGGGACACGCAGCAGAGGTCATTCAAAATGTGAGTTTGGGGCAATCTGGGTACAGAGGCTCTGTACTAGGAACATGAGAGAGGGATCTGAAAAGGAGCTATTTTCAAGCAAAAAGCACTGGAGGTTTGGAGAGGAAAAGAGAGAGAGAGGGAGAGAGAGAGAGAGAGAGAAACACACACAGAGAGAGACAGAGAAACACACACACACAGAGAAAAAAACAGAGAAAAAGAGAAACACAGAGAGAAAGAAACAGAGAGAAATATACACAGAGAGAAAGAAACAGAGAAAAAGGAGAGAGAAACACACACACACAGAGAAAGAAACAGAGAGATAGAAACAGAGAAACACAGAGAGAGAAAAAGAGAGAGAGGAGAGAGAGACACACACACACAGAGAGAAAGAGAGAGAAACACAGAGAGAAAAAGAGAGGAGAGAGAGAGAGAAATAAGAGAGAGCAAGAGAGAGAGAGAAATAAGAGAGAGCAACTGAGAGCCAGAGAAAGCGAGAGTCCGCAAAGATGAGCCAGCAGCCCCTCTGCCCCGTGGGCTGCATTTAGGGGTCTAGTTGCCACCTTAAGAAAAGCAGAGATAATTTCATTGAGACTGATTCTAACAACCTGTAGGATTTAACCATGGCGCTTCAGTGGCCCAGCAGTTAAGTGTTAGCCGTTAACCCAAACAGCAGTGGTTTGAACCCACCAGGAGAGAAAGAGAGAAGGTAGTCTGAGGGAGAAGGTTGCTCCGTGGGAGGAAGAGGAGTCTGTCTGTTTCTGTAAGGATCTGCAACCTTGGAAAGGGGCCTTCCAGGGGCCATCCTCCTTTGTACTGCAGGGTCGCCATGAGCTGACATCGAATTAGCAGCAGTGAGCTTGGTTTTGTGGTTTAATCTTTACAGAAGCAGTTTGGACACCTGACTTTGTCATTGGCGGCCAAGAGCTAACCACTGGGCCACCAGGGTTCCCTCCAGTTTGGAACCTCTATGGAGCTCTCCTGGCCTAGTGGGGAGAGAGCTGAGCTACGAGCCCAAAGGTGGCATCTCTCACTGGTGGTTCGAAGCCACCAGGTGCCCGCTCCCTGGGAGAAAGATGGGCAGTCTTTTCTCGTGTGGTTTACCACCTCAGAATCCTGCTGGATGGGCAGCTGTGAACTGGCTGCCACAGCCACGAGTTAATTTGATGAAGACGTTCCATCCACTCTCTCCCATCAAGTCACTAGGAAACAGAACGGGTAGTGAGTTCAGTATCTCACCCAAAAAATCCTGAATATCACCATTTCAAAATGTCATCCGTTCAGAAATTGTTAATGCCATATTAACATAAGATAAGGTTACATTTCCGGGGTATTTTTTGGCATTCATTCGCCCAAAGCAGCTTGTTGGGGACTTGGTTGGGACTCCCTGTGAGGAGTGGCTCTGGCACTGTGAGAGGCAGTGCCGTTCTGGAGAAATGGGACCTAAGAGGTGAGCTGGGCTGTGTGGCGTGTTGGGGCAGGGGCTTTGGGTGAGCAGGGAGTACAGGTCTATCGCCCCAAATGTCAAGACTCTCTCAGGTCTCTTCTGACCACGGGGCCTCTTCAGGCACACACAGCTCTTGGAGATGAAGGGAGCCCTGGATGGAGACACAGAGGCAGGGACACCGAGGGACAGAGATGGCTGGGAGGGGGACAGTGGGCCTTGGATTTGATGAGATTCAGGGAACAGGACTGAGGGGCTGCAGAGTCCATCTCAAACGGGTCCTAAAAGGCTGAGTGTCCTGGTCAGGTTCACTGTGGTCAAAGACCAAAGGAACAAATACACACAACCAAACCCATCGCTACTGGGGCAATTCCAACTGAAGCTTCCAAGGCTGTATGTCTCAATGAGAGGCAATGTCACCGCGTGCTACAGAGCGGTTGGTGGGCTCAAACCATCCACCTTTGGATTCATGGCCCAACACCTAACACACTACACCATCAAGGTTCCCAAGGCCAGGGGCCCAAGACAATCCAAACTCACTATCATTGAGTTTCTAAGGTTGTGATCTTTCCAGACACCTTTCTACTAAGGAGCGGCTGGTTGGCTCGAACCACCGACCTTTTGGTAAGCAGCTGAACTTTTTAAACCACTGTGCCACCAGGACAACTTGGGGCAAGTGCGCCCTGAGTGGCACTTAGAAGATGTGGAGATGGGAAGACATTCAAGGATGAGGAGAAGAGACTCACTCAGGGGATATGCACAGTGGTTTAAGTGCGCAGCTGTCAGCCAAGCGTTGGCTGTTTGCATCCAGCAGCAACGCAGAGATAGAAAGTAAGTGTCTACTCCTAGAAAGATTTACAGCCCTGGAAGCCTCCCAGGGAGGTTAGACTCTGTCCCGTAGGGTCACAGGGAGTCCAAATTAACTTGACAGCAATGGGTAGGGTGGGAGAAATAGGAGTTCAAGTTATTGTTAGATGCCATCAAGTCAACTACAAGCCGTTGTGCCCTGTCATCCTGCACCGTTTTAATGATTTCTAACATCCTGGAGACCATTGCTACAGTGGCTGTGTCTGTCCACCTCGTGGAGAGCGCTCTTCTCTTTTGCTGACCTTTCCCGTCATGGTGCTTTCTGCCAAGGGTCAAACAGCATGTCCCCAATAGCATCAGGCACCTCCCAGTTATACAGGGTGCCCTGGGACAGGAAGGGAATGTTGGAAAATGCAAAGGGGCTGGCGGGAAGGTATGTAGAGTTGGGGAGGGTAGTTCCTGGGGAGGACGCTGGGGATAAACGTGATGACCTATGAGCCCTCACCTTCGTGTGCAACTTGGCCAGCTGTTTCTCGTCCAGATTGGTCTGTTTGTAAACTCGCGTCTTGTATCGAAACTGAGGCCCGAGGCAAGGTGGAAAGAGAGACAGAGAGTGGGAATCAGGAGCATGAAGGGAGAAGCTGGGGGCAGGAGGAGCAGGGCCTGCTTCCGCATTCTGGGACCCTTTCTGAGCCAGGTCAAGGGGAAGGGTTGGAAGCAGCCCCAGTGGACAGCAGGATGGTAACAGGCCATTGGGCGAGGAGGGAGAGGGGTGTACGTAACTTGCTGCCTTTATCAGGGATTGCACAGAATGCCAATGATGGGCAAGACATTTGTCCCCATGCCTGCTGTTGGGACTGCTCCATTCCTCTTAGTGGAATAGGAAAGGGAAAAGATTGGAATAGGGAAGTGACTTGCCTAAGGTCCCTGAGACCCTTAATCACCCTTAATGAAAGGGGGTGAGGACAAAGGGGTGGTCAGATGTGTAAGGGGAACACTCCTCCCACTGCCAGCCAAGAGGATGGGAAGGCTGTAGGCCTCACCTCCAGGTAGGGCACCCCCTTCTCGAAGGACTGGGGGTACTCCCTCAGCAGCCTCTCCTCTTCCAGGAAGTTGGCGTCGCGGCCCGACGTGGCAGGCTGGAAGAGGCCATAGTTGAGCACGTCCTGCAGGCTTTCGCTCAAGGCACACAGTACCTGCTGCTTGGCCGTCCAGATGGTGGCGTCGGGGTTGAAGCGCAAACATTTCTAGTGGGGGAGGAGACAGGACAGGACGAGGGTGTGTCAGGGACCCAGGGGACCTCATGGAGAGTTGGGGGAGGGGGTGATACTGAAGGCAGAAAGGGGACCAAGGTGCTTCCCCCAGGGCGCGCAGTACTGAGCCTCCCTGCCCCATGCGCCCTCAGCCATGCGCCCTCAGCCCCGCAGCCACCCGGCAGCCACCCGCGGTCACTTGTTTGTTCACTCACTGTCTGGTGCAGATCCGGGATCCCAATCCTAAAGACCATCATGCTGAAGTGAGCGTCGTCGGGGACAGACATTGAGCGGCCCTGGAGGCCTCGGATTGAGGCCAGACTACCAGGTGCCCCGCTGCCCCGGCCCCGGGTCCCCCGGAGGCCTCTCCCGGGCCCGTCTGGGGAGCTGTCGGACTCTGAGCCCCCCTCGGGACACTCGCTGGCACTGTGGCGTTCCTCGTCCTCGCTGGACGCGGGGCTGTGGGGCATCGTGGGGCCACGGGGCGACGGGGGGTGGCAGCATCACAGGCGGCTGCGGGAGGCCGAGGGAAGCCGTCAGACTAGGAGCCCCGGGACTCGGAAGACCAGAGGCCGCGGGCGCCCCCCACTGCCCACATGGGCGGGCAGGAAGCAGGCTGGGCACACCCCCAGACACTCCGCCCCTCGGCCGCCTCCGCCAGCACGCACGCGCACACACCCCCAGCCCCGGCCACGCTGGTCGCACGTGTCTCCTTCCCTGCCCTTGGCCCTCCTGGCAGCCCCCCCGCCCCCCTGCGCCCCACTTTGCCGCTGACCCAGCGTCGCTGTGTCCCAGAAACCGCAGAATCACCGCGGGAGCTACTGGCCCACTTTGCCAGGGCCACAGAAAAAAGCAGCTAAAATTAGCAGAGGACAGACAGGTGGACCGAGCGGCCGGTATTCCGCCCTCCTGGCCCCGGCCTGGCCCCTTCACCTCGGCCCTCCTTCCCTCTCTCCTGATGCTGGGGAGCTAGTGGGGTGAGGGGTGCTGGGACCGCGAGGTAGTAAGAGAGGCAGCGGTGCTGGCAGCCCCGGGGCGGAGGGAGCGGGTGCTGGGAGCAGGTGGGCCCGATGCCTTCACAGGCTGCCGGCGTGTGTGCGCACGAGGCAGCCAGAGGAGCCACTGCCCCAGGGGAGCAAGAGAACTAGGGTGTCACAGGGCCCGGGTGTCCCTGAGGGAGCCAGCAGAGGTGGCCTCGGGGCGTTGTTGGGAATATCCAGAAAAGACCCTCGGGTGCGCGGAGGGTGACCAGGGGTGTGGTGTGGTGGCCTCAGGTCAGCATCTGGATGGCTACCAGAGTGACCTCGGGCAAGTTTAAGAGAGTGGACTGGCCACGCCTGGCACTGGGGACCCCCCCGGCACGGGGAACTGCCAGGCTGGTAGTGAGGCTAAGAAGTGGGGTGAGGGGGTGGCTGGGCCAGAGGTCGTCTGCAGACAACCTCCTCCTTCCCGCCCCACTGTCCTCGTCTGAGGCGGCCTTATAAGGGTAGGTCCCAAATGGGGTTCGCCTCCCCGCGTGTTCTCCCCTACTCCCACCCCAGCACCGGAAAGCAGAATGTCTGGTGTGGTCCCTCCCCCCCCACGCCAGTCCCGGCTCCTGCACCGTTGCCATGGAGATGGGAAGCAGTGGAGGGTACTGCCGACTTTGGGGGAGTGGGGATGGGCTGGGATGGGGGAGGGAAGACAAAATGTGTGTGTGTGGGGGGGAAACGGAAAGGAGACTTCCAAGAGCTGGGGGCAAGCGGACTTGTAAGCACTGGCCAGTGCACCCCTTTCCCCAGGAGCGGCCAGGGTTTGTCAGCCCCCTCCCCCCCTCCAGGTACCTCGTTGCGCTGCTCCACCCTGCCCTTCTGGGGAACCCCGGGCTCCTGCGCTCACCCCACATTCCTCTTCCAATTTGGGGGCCCGCAGCCACTCCCCCTCGGCTGACCCTGGCTGACCCCCCAGCTACCGCATGGCACTAAGGGGGTGGCTGGGAGCGGAAAGGCGAGCCAGGCCGGGTCCCCCACGCGCGCGCGGCGGTCCCCAGCCCCTGGCCCAGCGCCGGCCCCTCCCCCTCAGGCCCGAGGGAGGGAGCGGGCACACTCCGCCGGGGCGGCATGAATCAAACGCTCGGAGGCTAAGAATAGCTGGCACGCAGCTGGTACCGAGACGGGCTGAGGAATCGACAGGGGAGGGGTGGAGAAGGGGAGAGAGGGGGTGCCCTGAGAGGCTGCAGGGGGACGGGGGGCGGCTGGCGGGGCCGGGAGCGGGCCTGGGAGAATGAATGGAGGCGGGGAGAGGGCGCTGGGACTCGGGATGAGACACAGGGTGGGGGAGAGCCCCGGCCGGAGAGAGGGGGCGGGGGCACCGGGAGCGGGATTCGGGGGTGGGAGGCGAGGGGGCGCGCCGGCCGGTGGAGCGGTGAAGGGAGACGCGGTGGGGGTGGGGGAGCTGGCGAAGGTGCAGAGCGGAACCGAGGCGCCTGCAAAGGGAGGCAGGAGCTTGAGGGGGTCGAAGGGGGCGAGGAGGCCACGGCCTGGACCCCGCGCAGGGCGTGGGAACCGGGGTGGTTTTTGGGAGGGGTCCCCCGGGCTGGGGTCGCAGGAGGGGTCCAAAGGCGCAGGTGGGCCAGGGAGGGCGAGGCGGGGGAGTGGCCGGCAGGGCCGGGAGGCGGGCACAGCAACTGTGGCCCTGGAGCGCGCGGGGAAGCGGGTTCGGGCTGGGGGCGCCGCGGGCGGGGGTTGGGGGTTCGTCCGCCCAGCCCGGCCCCGCGATCTGGGACGGGGCACCGGGGACTGGGGCGTAACCCAATTTGGCGTCGCCGGGAACAACGCTCCCCTCCTCACCGCCACCCCACACCCGGGCCCGGAGCCCGGCGCACGGCCAAGGACATCCGGGGCGCCCCTGCCCCCTCCCTCAACCCTGGCCACACTGCTCCCCCCAAATCCAGGACCAAACCCCAGATCCTTACCTGCCTGGCGGGGCTGCTGAGTCCC